AGCAGGACACAAACGGGGGAGCTCAAGAACATTTAATTGCAGGTGATTTAAATGACATTTTCTGTAGAGAAATGGCACTAATAAGAAGTAGCATGAAATAATTGAGTTTGGGGTTCTAGTTCCAAACTTCATGTTATCAAGAAAAATATCTGGGTGGCTCAAGGAAGGTGAGGTAATATGTATCAAACCAAGTGGCTGTGATAAGGGAATTCTGTCACACAACAAACAAATTGAAGTGCTTGTGGTTGGAAAAATCTCAGATAAAAGTTGCCTGTTGGATAGAGGAAGCCACCAGTGGCCACTGCCCATTCCCATGATGGCATTTACCTACATGACGAGGGATACTAAGTGGAACAACATTCTCCCATATTTTCCCCATACATTATGAACTATTTGCTCTAATATTTTGGCTATCTGAAATCATGCCATACTAAATACCATTCCATGTCAAAGTTTTATTAGCCTTTCTTATTTCCTAGGGTTATATTTTCTAGCATAACAGTCCTAAACCAAAGGTAGGAATTAAAATACATTAAAATAATAGTTTAAAATATTGTTAACTTGTTACAAAAAGACAAATTTTTGAAATGCCATTTGTTCTTCTCAAAATTAATCTATGAATTCAATGCAGCCCCAGTCATAAAACACAAGATTTGAGTGTGTGTATATTGAACTGGGTGATAGGCTTACCAAATTATCTTGAACATAAAATGTGGAAGGTTAACTAAGAGGGGGGAGTTCATCCTACTGGCTATCAAAATATTTGCTATGCTATTGGCAATTCAAACTGGAACTGATAAATCTTTCAATGGACCCAAGCAGCGATTTTAGAAATCTCATGCATATTAGGAGATCAAAGAAATTATAAAGCTGGCATTTCAAATCAGATGTTACCTCAAAGTAGATCCTTATGCCCATGCATCTGTCTGTGCAGTTGTGTATATGTGTGAGGTGGGAGTGCAGAGGAACTACTGGGGCCTCTTGCTTTCCCCATAAAGTAACTTTAGGTCCCATGCCCTTTCACAGGCTGCCCTAGTCCTGGAAGTCTGACTGAACCTGTCAGTGGAGTCAAGCAATCTTACATAAAGGACTCTCTGAACCAGCCCCTCAGATCCACCTTAACAGCAAGAGGAAGGCACACTAAATCCTCAAACATAACCTGACCCCTAGGACTGTGTTGAGCATTTTGTTCAGTAGAGACCTGGAGAAACAGAGAGGATGAGGACCTGGCAGAGTGACCGTGGATGTTGAAGCTTAAACACCAGGAGATTGGGCTTTTGCCATAATACTGCTTGTGCCCCCTCCTCTTCTACCTGTGGACTATTGAGAAATCCAGGAGAATAGTGTGGAGTAAGCATTCTTCCAGGATGACTCATTTAAGTCCAGGTCATCTTTTTTTTTTTTTTGGAGAGGTTTTTTTTTTTTTTTTTTTTTTTTTGTGGGTCTTTTTGTTTTGGTCC